ACACCTCTGAAATTTTGGAACTGTGATGTGCCCAGTTCAGCTGAATCAATAATACCTGTGGGGGATTTTTTGTCAGCTGTACAAGTGTTTTCTGTAAAACTAGTCAGCCTGCTGAGAAATGGATAATGAGGAACAGATGCTTCAACTGGTTTTGTAGTGGGGCTGAATGCTTCTTAGCTTTACTAATTCAGAACATCCTGGATGAATCATAGGACTCTTGAATGCCCTCCTGCCCCTGCTAGCCAAAGATACTCTAATATTACTTGGCTCTGGTGGGGTAGAGGATCACAGTAGATCAGCAATACCAAGAAAGCCAGAATACTCACATCTTGCAAAATTCCTGAAGTTTGACATTTGAGAAATTAGGTTGCCACCTCTCTCTCTTCCCCACCTAGAGCAGCCTATCTTCTCTCATATTTTGTTTGCTTTTCTGTTGTTTTTTTTTTTTTTAATAAAAAGTCTGTGGTGTAAAAGATTCCAGATGCTCTCTTTCCTCTAGTCATGCTGAAGCCTGTTTTGGATGTTGCTTAGCATAAGAAATGCCTCTATTATTGCATTTATGTTAGAAAGGAGAAAGCTGAGTGCTGGGAAGGTTATGGAAACATGCTAAGTTAAGACAACTTATTAGTGACAAGCCATGAATATGACATAAATATTCTATCTCTTAATAACATACTAAAAAAATCCCATTATTTGCACCTGGCTTCTCCCAGTGCCCGAAGTTTGTAGGACTGTGTTCATGCACAACTTACTGATAGGTTTCTGAATGCTTGTTTCAATCTAGAAAAAGAAGCGGAATGAGAATGAAACAGCTACAGAAGGTGAAGACTCTGCAATGACCGACATGCCTCACACAGAGGAAATGACAGACATCGTAGAAATGAGAGAAGAGAATGAATAATAAATGGGATGCAATTGTTCTCTGCAGGGACGATTGGAGTGACACTTCGGCATCTTGTCGTCTCTCATACTTTTTTGTTTGTTCGTTTTTATTTTTGTAATAAAGAGGCCTTGATTTAAAAGGTTTCAGATAAATTCTCTAGCATACTGAGTATGCTCTCACTGATGAGGGACCTAAAAAGAGGTCTTTGCTTTTTTTTTTTTTTCCCAATTGAATTTGTTTTCTCACTCCATGCAAACATAAAAGATACAATTGCATCACTGTAGTCTTCCTTACTTATGCATCCACCTTCTCTGGACAATCTGCATTTGTCAACCAAAGCCCTGCTCTCTGTGCACGTGTGTGCGCGCGTGCATGTGTGCACGTGCTTGCACGCACGCACACGCACGCGTACCACTGGCTCAGTGCTACTGCCATAATCCTACTCCCTCCCCTCTTTCCTTTTCCTTCCTTTTCTTTATGAGAAATGTAAAGGAAAAGAAGTTTGGAATACAGAGCTTTATTTTACTTGCTTAAAAATGACTTTGCTACATGAACTAATACACTATGGTGAACTATATCTTTTTGTTTGGCCTCATCTCTAGAGCTTATACTGCACAGGGTACAAGACAGGGAGGAACGTGTAAGTCTCCACATACAAAGTGGAGAAAAACACGTTCCTCTCTCATGTTAAAAAGTGTGTGGATGTGTATATACACACACAGGTACATAAACAGAGACATACATACATATATATTTATATATATATGCATACGATAAATAAAATACATACAGGACAAGAACTCTATTTAGCTTTCATTCCATGAGAAAGACAGTAATCTTTTGAAAAATGTAAACATTTAATTCAGAATTTTCTTGAATCCTTAAGCCCCACTTTACGTATCGTTTTCTTTAGAAAAAAAACACATGCACTTTCCTCTTGTGAAGAGGGTGATGGTAACTGATAGACTTTGACTGTATTTGAATAAAAAAAAATAAATATTGACAAGCTTTACCAAAGTTCTTGTCCACTGATTTAACTTTAATTTTTAAAGGTTGATTTGCTCTATAGTACTTATTTCTGGTGCCTATATATTTAAAAAAAAAAATCAGATAACTTATGCAGGATACCATGGTATATCGCATTACTACACACAGCTCCATGAAATTGTTTATATAGAGATGTACACATGCTCACACACACGTGTGTATATGTATATATACATATATATACACACACACACATATATGTATGTTATGCTATGATATATTTACCTATGCAGTAGATCAAAATCTGTAAGGTGAAGCTCGAGTACTGATGGTCCTCCAAGTTGTTAATTAGGGACCTTGCTCATATGTTAGCTCTTGAGGCAAGAGTCGCGTGGAAGTGGGGAGCTGCTCGTATCCGTCAGCCAGTGCCAGGCTTGGAAAAGGCAGCAGACGCTGTGTGGCTGTGGTTGGAGTGGGCCTTAAATAACAGAGCGTGAGGTCAGGGGGGCAACTGGTATCGGGTGGAAATGAAGCCTGTTTAAGACGTGACCGAAGCAAAGAGGGTTTGGGTGGTACCGACGATGGCTGCAGCGGCAGCTCATATTTCCGTGCTCTTCTGTGTTTGGCTGCGGGGCAGCGTGCGTTACCGGTTCGTAGTAGCTTGGGTTCTTTCAGATTTAATCATGCCAGAGTCTGGAAACTGTTATACTCCGTGCTATATCCATAAATCAGTTAATTTAAACCTTATTTAGTAAAAGTATATTTTTCTAAGTTGTGGAAATGATTATTTAATTGTGGGCAAATTCCGTTTCTAGATTTATTTGCCAGGTAGTCCCAGCACTCAGAGAACTGATCAAAACTAAACATTACTTTAAATATTATATCAATATATGTGTATGTAAACATACACATGTGTATAAATATATATATTGTATATTATGTACATTTATTTTAAGCTATGATACATTTCCTATTTTTCCAAGTTCAGCTGAAAACGTCTCTAAAAAACTACAGAGTTGGCTAGTAACCCGTTATGGCCATCACAAAAGGCATTGTATCAATGAACTTTACATTTTGTTGTAAACATTTGTACCAAATTGTTACATGTACAAATGCAATAAGAAAAAATGTAGAAACTATTGTGTTGAGTGACAGATTCGCAAAATCATTTCATAGTTAATGAGCAGTGGCACTAGGAAGGTAAGACTAAATCCAGTAAGTACACGTTTTCTGTGCCACCACAAGGTTGTTCTTGTTTCTAACAGTAATTAAAAGAAAAGATTTTTTAAAAAAAAAAAGCCTCAGAAAAATTAACTTTGTGCAGTATGTAGACTGTACACATTGATGAACACAGGCTCTCAAACAGTCATATGTATATAACGTGTATATAGACTGTTACACATCACAGTGGCCATTTGAAGTCTTCTCTATTCATGTAGTTTTGGTTTCTCCTGGTTTGTATCCAGGTCCACAAGATGCAGTTTTTCAGGAACTGTAGAGAAAAAACAAGAAGATATTTTTGTGTAATATTTCTTTTGGTACATGACTAAAACTCAAACAGCAGTATTTTTAAAGAATTTTGAGCATTACCAATGTAGGTTTCAAGGTAATAATTGCACCAAAAAGTAAAAATTTGAAAACAAAATAAATGAAACACTGAAGCTTTTGCTTTAGGTAGAAGATGCACAAATATAGAAAAATCAATTACTGGTCATGCAGAGCTAAACTAATGGTACTGTAAAAGGTAAATTTTCAGTCGTGTGGGTAATACTTAATACAGTCCTTTACTTTGCAAGATATCGAATGACCGCAGAAGTGGTGGGCAAGAATTCAAGCAGTGACATAGGGACACATGCATTACATCTCTTTCTGCTTCCTGCGGGTCGTGCATTTCTTTATGTTGCTCTGCTGGATTAGCAATCTCTGCAGTGAGCAAGCCTGAGCCAGCCCCTTGTGCTGGCCTGAGTCCTCGCGGCGCGGGCAGGCAGGGTGCTCCCTGCGGGAAGGCACTGCCCAAGGAGCGCCCTGTCCCCTGCAGCCCCTGGTTCTGCTTCTGGGGGCTGCTGTCAGGAGCTTCAGCGGCCACCTGAAACCTCACTGCTCTGACTCCCAGTCGGTGACGAATTCAGGGGGGCTGGTGAAGCGGCCAGTCTGACGGGTGGGTTACAGGGTGGGAGTGGGCAGCCGTCCTCCTCGGCTGACGTCCCCGGCAGAGCATTACGGGTTCCAGTGTCTCTGTCTGGCAGATGCTGGTGCATGCCCTGTCCTGCACCTCTTCCTTCCCAAAAGGACTTTCCGAGTTCTAGTACAGTGGCTTAGCTGTCTCTCTTGTGTTACTGCTTATGAAATGGTTATCTATCTCTGTGATAAATATTTTTCAATCGAAACCTGTTAAGTTTCTGTGTCAGAGAGCCAGAGCGCAGTTACATCAATTAATTGACGTGGAGGCTTGGCCTCTCCAGGCTTTCTTGAGAATTACCAAACAATACAATCGAGGTTACAATAAAAAGAGGAACAAAGTTGATCTGCATCTTACATCTTAAATGTCGGAACAGCTCATGCCGCAGGAAATAAGAGCAGAACACCAATAAGCTGTGGATTAATGTTCCTCGGCTTTGAATACGTACGTAAAATTGTGTTAACTTGTCTCGAGTTTTCCTCTTGCAGCACTAACAGGAAACATTGGGGTTTTTTTCCCCTTGCTGCCCTAAGCAGGCCTCTCATGCTTACCAAGCAGTGGACTTGATGGAAAAAGCTCTGTGTTTGCCAGCCAGTGCTTGAGACCGTTTGGGCGCACCGGCGGGGTCCCCGGCGCGGGCGCGCCCCGCCCCCCCCCCCCCTTTTGCCGTTCCGGGCAGGAGCGCTCCGTTGCCTGCTTGTTAGTTAGAGCCACCCTGAGCGAGAGGATTGGGTGAGTAACAGAGAAGCCTTTTGTTTTCTACTCGTTTTGCTGCTAAATATTTCCTTTGAGCGGGAGAGATTTATATCTGGCTCTTGCTGGGTGCAGCCAGAGAGGGAGCAGCCCGAGACAGAGGGCGAGCTGGTGAATGCAGCCGATTCAGGGCAGGCCACGGCCCGCAAACAGAAACCTTTTGAAGGGCAGAGCGCCTTCTTTTGTGGGATGGCGCCTCGCGCTGAAAAAGAAGGGAGAAAGGATGCTTTCAAGGCCCGGGCGCCCGGAGTCGCCGGGCATAGCTTTGCGTTGGGCTGCGAGGTGGCAAAGGGAACCAGCCCGCAATGCAGGACAGGGCAGGGGATGGCGAGGCAGCAGGGTCAGCTCCATCTCTCCCTGAGATTTTGTAGCCGTGGCATGATCAGCAGGGATTTGAGTGCAGCTGGGCATTACCCGAGCGTAGCTGCAGTAGCCGTCAGCTTTTCCTATGCAGGAAAGCCATGCATATGTATTTGGGGGTGTGTATGAGGAGTGTTGCACAGGCATTTTTACTACGGCCTTTGTACAGTTCATTGGAACAAGGATTCAAGTCTAAACATGATCTTAATGTGGGACTAATACTAAGTTGTTTAAAAAAATTGCAATTTAAAGCTATATAAAAGATTAAATAAAACATCCTTTCAGCAGGTTTTGTACCAGTAAGCTAAAGCATGATTCAGATCAGTAAGCTGGAATGGGACAGAAAGAGCAGGTGTTGAAAAGCTTATGGGTATGGTATATCCATCCTAAAGACAAGAGCATGGCACAGAGATGAGTGAATCGCAGAGCAGAAAACACCAGAGCTGTGGCTGCTGCCCTTTCCCTTTCAGCTGCCCGGGAGAGGGACTGAAGGGAGAGAAGCAACGCGTCCATAGGATGCTACTTCTAAGTATTTTGGTTTCTGAGTGAAGGAGCCATCAGAGAGAGGAGTATGAAACATCTTAGAAGATTATTCAGGCAGAAATTAGCCAACGTGCAGGTTTTATAACATGCAAAGAGGGGGCACTACATAGCTTGCTGTTTCTGAGTAACTGGCAGGACTGGATTGGGGAAATGTCACACAAGCGTTACTTAAACAACAGATAAAATTACCACAATTTTGGTGTCAACTTGGCATTTCCCAAATACCAGCTTAACCATAAACTGTTCATGTTTGCTTTTTTACTAGAATTCAAATGCAGAATACCGTGTTTTTTGAAAGGGGCAAGCTCCCGCAAAGGCTGTGGGGGCTGGTGGCAGAGCCCCAGCGGGAAAAGGACCTCCAAATTTTTTCCGCGCCCTGTAACACGCTGTATTCAGTTGCAGCCCAACAGTGTCACAAAACGAGGCAGAACTGTCAGGTTAGCAGCAAGCGCGGTCCGAGCGCGGCCCCGACCTGCGGCAGCCCTGCAGAGCAGCGGGAGGGCGCGGGGGCAGCCCTGGCTCTCCGCTCGGGCTGGGACAGCTCGTGTAGCTTTGCTTTGGAGAGCCAAGTTCCATCGCCGGCGCGTAGATGCACTCCTCAGCAAAACCGCTGCCAGACTTCTCAGCAATTGGCACCTTCTGAACAAAAAGGCCAAAGACAAAACACGGGGGCAGAGAGAGGGAGCTTTAAGCTCGGCTTGGAGCGCGTACTCGCCCAGAAAGGCATTTTGGCTGCAGCTTGTGCAAGTTCATGGTACGGTTAGAGAGTGAGCTTCAGTCTCGACATTTCTCAATCAAGATATCCACTTTATCTCAGTAAAACAGAAGAATTGTGATATATTTTTCGGTGCCCTTTTGTCTTTGTAACCCTGAGGGGAAAGTTTTCCTTAGTATTACCAAGCCTTGTCACTGCTCAAATCAATTTGTTAGTTTTACCTCATCATTATTTTCTGTCATTCCTAGTCCAGCGTCTTCAGACGTTTCCTTATTTTCTTCTGAAGGCTCCTGCTAGGCTTATTTTGTCTGTTGGCATTCTGAGAAGGAAAATGTAATCATCATGCTGACTGAATGTCAAGTAATGCCGTGATTAA